CAAAAATTTTTGAAAACAAGGTTGCATAGCTCGACAAATAGCCGTAAAAACGTGAAAAAATAGCGCCGCAGGCAGCAAAATCTTGAGAAACTAAAATCATAAGGGTCCCCTTACTTAAAGTTCCTTCAGCCCCGGCCGATTCGGGGGCCCAGTCCCGCCGGGGCCTGTATTACGCTACGTCCCTGGTCGTCTCTTTGAGCCCTTTGAGCGAAAAGATGGCCTTTCGAGCGCAGTTTTTCAATTTTATATAACCAGGAATAGCCATTCCGCAAAAAAGGACAACGGGGTCTTGTTCAGAATAGAATTCTCTATCGAATGTGCTGGGTCTTGTAAGGTTTGCCGATGACTCCAAAAAGCACTCTGTAAGCAGAGAAGAACCCTGGAATGACATTGACTCCAACCGCGAGATTCAGTCATTAATCCCGACAGCAAGAGTGCCGATATACTCCGAGGAAATGCCGACAGCCAAAAATTCCGGACGATCAAAGCAGACAGACAAAATGTCGATATTCTAAAATGATGACCTGCAAAATGCCAACAGCCATAATTGTCGGGATTTTTGCATTTTACGTGTCACGGCAAGTGGGTATTGCGCCAAAAATAGAGAAGTCAGAATCGAAAATTCCGAAAAACATTTTTTCCAGAAAAGCCTATTCAGGGTTTGGTTGCATTGTTAGTAGTCGTTGTTCGTACTGGTGGCGAGGTGGGTAGGGGAAGGCTCAGCCCCGTTTCCAGGTGGTCTCTCTGTCTGTCTGTCGCTGTGCTTAGTGGTGGTGTCCCCCAATACGCCCTGAGGGTATGGCGCGCTAGCTGCGAGTTAGAGAGAGAGGGGCACATCAGTTGCCCAGGCAACCATTTCCCCATAGAAAGACACCAACCAACAATCCGATTTTCATACATTTCGTAAGGGGACGTGAAAATTAGCATAAATTGGAGGACGAGGTGAGATTCCGATCGGGAGGACTTTAAGGAGGTTAAGAAGTCAAAATTGTTTGATGAAAGGCAAAAACCAAATGGTTTCGGAATCAGGCCTATTGGGAAAAAACTAAATAGATAATTCCTTTGCGTCCTGAAAATAACAGTAATACTAAACGGTGCTAACCATAGGACGCACCTTAAATAATTCCATACCATTTAAATAGCCGATTTATTTACCTAACTAACGGTTTTTTAGGACTACATAGAAATCCATAATTGAGGATATTTTGTCAGCATCCTTTTTAAATCACCTGGAAAGGCCGTAGATTGCTTTGAAAACGTTCGACGCATGATTAAATTTTCATGAAACTTATATTTTCTTGGCGATGATATGGAACCGCTTTGACAGAGCTAAATAAGGAAAATTTGAATCTTTCGGAATCGGGCATAGTTTGAAAAAACGAATAGCTACTCTAAAGTACCGACAAAAAATAGGAGTTACCATTGGAATTACCTTAAAATTTCCTACCATTTAAATATACCATTTATTGATTTAAATTTATCTTAAAGGATTTTATTGGGATTACTATAATTAGTATTAGAAAATTATAATTGAGGAGGTTTTGACAGCATCGTTTTTAAATCACTTGAAAGATATACCATTTATTGATTGCTTTGAAAAAGTTCGACGCAACATCAAATTTTCATGAAACTTATATTTTCTTAGTAACGATATCGAGCGACTTTAAAGGGGCTACGCAGCCACCAAGTGAATGTTTCGGAATCGGGCATATTTTGAAAACAAAACTAAATAGATACTACCTAAAGTCCCGCCAAAAAATAGGAGTTACCACAGGAATCACATTAAATAGGTGATACCATTTAAATATCCCATTTATTTATTCAAACCAGTGGAAAAAGACCGCTTCGCGGCCATTTTCCACTGGACCACGTCCAAGAACCATGAATTTGAATATCCTCTTTTTTAGCCTGCGGCGCTCGAACCTGAGCGAAGGAGCCATTCTTTGGCCGTTGCGCTAGAATCTTTGAGCCTGCGGCGCTAGCTACTGGTTTTCTCCAGGATCGGCCTGCGGCGCGAGAGCCCGAGCCAGGGGCCTTTCCCTGCTGCGGCGCCAGAGCGAGGAACCAGACCAAAATCTTGCACACCGAGACCCTAGAAATATGTTTGGTTGCCGAACTACCCAAAAGCAAAAATCGAAATTCCCCCCCAGGATCCGAACCACGACCCTGCGCGTGGTAGGCCGTGAGCTAATCCACTACACCAAAAAGGACATGGGGAGAAGGCGGCCGGAAAGGCCTGTTCTGTCCTGGGGAGGCGGCCGCAAAGATAAGGGTGACCAAGGATCCCGGAGGAGGCCTTCTGATCACTTTCACAAAATTCTATTACGAGTTTGAATCTGTGGAAAAATTTGCAAAGATAATAAGATGCGCATAATCCGCACCATTGATTGCTGGAAACGATCCAAATTTCAGCCTGGAATTCCATCAGGGCGTTGAGTTATGGCCTGGACACCACGGCCCATTCCGCGTTTATTAAGGACCTTTCAGAGAAATACACATAAAAACTTTATTTTAAAGAATTTTGCAAAATCCGAAAAAATGTATCTGGAGAATTACTTTTCCCATCACCCTCCAAAAATGAGACCCCAATTCCCCTCTAGGGGCCGAGAAAAGTTCCGGACAACGTGCGTACAAAATGTTAAGGATTTTCCACATTTTTGCTTGTAAAATCGTTAAATCAAAAAAATTCGAAAAATACGAAAAACCGTTTTTTATGAGTGACATTTCCCACCTCCATGCCAAAAATCAGCTCGAAACGCGGCTTGACGGCCGAGAAAACGGCCGTACAGAAAACACACATACTTTTCTCGCTTAAAGGATAGGATTTATCTAAAAAGATTTTAAATTGGTTACTATTATTAGTATTAAAAAAATCGTAATTGCGGAAGTTTTGTCAGCATCATTTTTAGAGACTTGGAAGCGACGACAATTGCTTTGCAAAAATTTGACACAGTGCCAAATTTTTGTGAAACTTATATTTCCTTCGTGGCGACATCGAACCACTTTAAAGGGGCTAGGAAGTCAAAATTCGAGTGTCCGGAATAAAACGCATTTGTGAGTTGCTGAGCCATTTTTAAAACCTGCAACAGCTAAGGCTATTAGAATTTCCTGAGGATTCCAGAAATGGCTCAGAATTATGCAATTCACGAATTTTCATGTGGGAACAGAAAGAAAGGCGCATGCGGCGCGGTCGCTCTGCGGCGGCATAGTTGTCAGGAATCAACGCTTGTAGGCGTGGACCAGGCTTCTGTGCCCCTTTAATAACCTAACGGCAAATGCAGGGTATCAAGTTAAAGTTCTGAAATCGACTTAATCAGTGGATTTTACCAGGGTTGGTCACAAACGATCCGGTCCGCGGAAGGTCCGCGGTCCGGTCCGGTCCGGATCGGTCCGAGCGAATCCGAGAATTTCGGACCGGACCGGACCGGACCGGATCGGACCGGTCCGGTCCGGTCTGAACACAAAAGGACATGATTCAGCCAGATATGGGAAAATTTTTGTGTACGCAACCTACTACCGAAGAATTTGACATATTTTCCACATCTAGGCTACTATCCGTCGCGTATATAGCCAAAAATTAATGGGGAAGGAATAATTTTATACATTTTGATTAATCGAATTCCACATTGCGTCGTCCCTTGGTCACTGAGACCTATCGGATCCGGACCGGTCCGGGTCCGGTCCGGTCCGGTCCGGTCCGGTCCGGATGCTGAAATTTCGACCCGACCGGATCCGATTAGATCCAGCGTGACCAACCCTGGATTTTACTATGGAAACCGTTAGAAGCTGAATAATCCATTCCAGCTGCCTCCAAGATACCATCCACAGCAATGAAACATACCATTAGAATCTGAAAATATCCGTAACGCTTACTAAAAAGCACATGATCACTACAGTCACTTTTTCCAGCCTGAAAATGGGGTAAATATGTAAATATTTCAAGTTCTATATGTCACCACCAATTTGAAAACCCTGGGGATGTTCAGCACCATAGCGATTTTGTGTTTTGTGACTGTGAGATAATTTTTTCGAGCAGCGATTTTCGTAATCGTTTCGGTAATTATTATTTTTCAACTTATTTTTAGCAGCTAAAAGCTGAAAAGCTAAATTTTTATCTGCCCTCCATTTATTTTTTTGCATAAACCCCGAGGGGTCAACTATCTGAGAAGACCCGATAACAGCCCTCTCTTTCCTCGGGGGCAAACATGTTTATTATAGGCCCCCGCTTAGACACCGACAATTCCCACAATTTCCTGGCTCTCCCATTTAATCATTCGTAAACAGCTGTGTTTCGCGGCATTTTCAGAAGCAATTTTCGCTAATTTCAGATACTTATAAAACTTGTTTTGTATTACTTTAAGAGGGCCTGCCTAAAAGGCGGTTTGTCGTTTTCGCGCCCAATTATTTCATGGCATTTTCGGCACTGATTTTTTTGGCGGCGACTCACTTTAAAAAATCGGCGACACCGCAAATGATCTAGAAAATAATTATCTCTCTCTCTCTCTCTCTCTCTCTCTTTCGTTTGCTTTCGCTCTCTCGCTCTCCCTCTCGCTCGCTCTCTCTCTCTCTCGCCCCACCTCTCTCTTTCTTTCTTTCTCTCTCTCGCTTACCTTCGCTCTCTCACTCTCTCTCGCTTTCTCTCGCTCTCGCACTCTCCCTCTCTCTTGCTCGCTCTCTCAGTCTCCCTCTCTCTCGCGCTCTCGCTCTCTCTCACTGACTCTCTCTCACTGACTCTCTCTCACTCACTCTCTCTCACTCACTCTCACTCTCTCTCACTCTCTCACACTCTCTCACTCGTTCTCTCTCTCATTCACCGACTCTCTCTATCTCACCGACTCTCACTCTCTCCCTCTCACTCGCTGACTCGCTCTCTCTCTCTCTCTCTCACTCCCTATCTCTCTCAAATTCACTCTCTTATCTCGCTCTGTCTCTCGGGTTCTCTGACTTCTATTTTTTGGACGTCTTTCCATGTTTTAGAATTTTAGAAATTACTTTTCGAAATGTTGCGACCCGTGTTGACTATATTTTTGCTGTTTCTCCGAAATGACGCACTCGAGAACGGATTGGCTAGGTGGGACCTCCATCAATGATTGTAAAAGTAGCAGATAAGTAAAATTACTGATATGCCGTTTTGATGAAACATCAAAAAAATTAACCGGTCCGTGCGCATTAACGGTAGTGGGGGACGGACCGAACTTCTTTGTAGGAGTCTATGAATAAACTTCAAAGCAAAAAACCGTTCCAGGACCCCTCCGATGGGCTGGATGTCGTGGGCGGCATTTTTCTGCGAGGTCGACTGCCAGAAACATCCACATGACTGCATTAATGAGAGGCTCTACGTGACGCAAGCCGATCAGATAGGTAGTGGCTTTAAATCCAAATAAAATGTCCATGAATATCCAGAAATGTTTCAAAAAATAACAGATAACACGATGGAGATCCTCCATTAGTCGGTCGTATTTGCGAACGTAACTCGATTGCCCTTTTTCGCCAAGAATGGTCAATTTCGAGTAAAATCCATAATTTTAGAATTTTATCAAAGCGTCTTCGATCGTTTTTCATTTTATTAGAGTTAAATTTTAATAAAAGAAAAACATGAAAAATGAAAAACGATGAAAAACCATGAAAAACCGAAGCTTTCTTGCAGTTAGTGACGGCTTCCGCGAGGCGGGCTACACGTCAATCCATATTGACGATTGCTGGATGGAGATGCAGCGGACGGCGCTAGGTATTTTAATGTCTAGCGTTATATAATTGAGATATAGTGGTTCTATACTATAAATGAAGCTGTGATATATGCTCAATATGCCGTTTTAAATATACCTTAAAAACGGGGTTACCGGGAAAATGTTTCACGGATGAAGTGTTAATAAAAAAGTATCACAAAAATTAGTGTATCTGTAATAATGGCTGATAAAATTAGTTGGAAACTTTTCTCTTCTAATTCTCGTTAAAGGGGCCAAGAAGCCTGAGCCACCCCCCAGCGTAGATTCCTGGCAAATAGCCAGATCGGAACACAACGCGACCGCGCCGCAAATTTTCTGCACCAGTTTTGACGGGAAAATGCAATGTTTCAGATTCTGACACGATTTCAGGGGTTTGCATACGATTTTAATACGTTGCTACTTTTTGTCTTACCTTTAAACCTAAAGCGATCAAATGTTTCATCAGACAAAGTATACAAACAAGTATCGCACAAATTAATCGAATGCAAATCGAACGTAGATTTCGATATTCTGAAATTTCGACAATAATTTTCGGTACGTTGAACGTACCGTTTGAACGAAAAGCGGAATACGAAGTGTAATCTCCGTACTCCCAAAGGCTGTATTTTCCCCAAAAAATTAACTGATGTTCTGGCGCCTCCAATGCAGTACCCGTTTGTGTTTTTTTATAATGAGAATTTTAAATTTTAAGTACTTTTTTAAATGCGGACAAATTCGTGATAATGTTTCATCACGCAAAGTTTACAAAAAAGTATTGCCAAAATTAATTGGCGTTTGTATCGAGCCGCGTTTGAACATACCTTGAAATTTTCGCTTCCAAGGCCCTTTAAGAAGATTGCCCACCATAATGTCCAAATTTCGGAATATCGAAATATATTACGAAACTTCGACATTTCGAAAATATCCTCTTTAAGATCGTCTGGCCGCCAACAGGTCTCGATTTCCCAGCGGAATCAAGAATTTGGCGAAAATGGTGGGTTCCCGAGCTTAATAAATTCACATAAAAACAATTATGTAAAATAAATTGATTTTTACATCATTTGCTTATCAAGTAATTTCAATTTACAAAATAATTTAACTTTCAGATGCACCAGCGTGGCCTGCAGCTAGGTATTTATGAGGATTACGGTACCTTGACGTGCGCCGGGTACCCGGGCAGTAAGGGATACGTCGAGGTGGGAAAAATAATATACCTTTTTCATTATCGGGGGGGGGGTATCAGCGGATCCCGCGGCTTTTTTTAGTATCCAACTTTTTTAAAGTGTTTCAAAACTGCTATTTATTTTTCGAAAATAAAAATCTTAATTTTGCGTTAAAAACCAAAAAGAATGATTTTCGACAAAAAGTTCGAATTTTTCGAATGTTTTATGCTTTTTTAGATAGTTTTTTCACTTTAAGGATAGATAAATAATACTAAAAAGGCTATCGTTATGGCGCGTTTCTAGGCATTTCTGAATTATACGAAAGCTTCGGCAAAAAGCTGATTTTCGCCTCGACCGGGACATTTTCCGATTGGGATGTGGACTACTTGAAATTTGACGGGTGTTACTGTAATATCTCCGAGGTGGCGGCCGGTATGTAAAATCTACAACAGATAAATTTGCCTAAGTGCAGTTCACCCCACCCCCATCCCCCCCAGCCGGCACCCACCTACCGTATCTCGGCTCCCTGTTCATCTACAGGTGTGTAAAGTATACCAAAATACTCGCCAGAGCAAGACGAACATTTTCATCTACTTTACGCACCTGTAGATGAACAGGGAACTTCAGATACAAAAAGATGGAGTGCCGGCTAGCGAGGGGTAAAGTGCCTCTAACCGATAAATTATCAATTTTCTTTCTAAGGTTCCGAAAAAGACTTTGAAAAAAGAATGTTTTAACTAGGATCAATGGCAATTGGAAGATCTGATTTTTCAATACTATATCTTTTTGTGTTGCCGGTTTTAGCATTTTATAGCATCCCATTTTTGTATTATAATTAGGGAAATTGTTTCTTAACCATTTTTTACTATTCCTAAACTTAAAAAGGCATTAAATTAAAAACTGCAAAAATATCGATTTTTCGACCAAAAATGACTGTTTTTTACGAAAAGTCGACTTTTCGAAATCTTGCCAAGGTTTTAGATTGTTTTTCTTGATGAAATATGGTTATATTTTGGTGTTAACCACTAATAAAATACTTCCTATTCAGTTACGAGATATTTCTAAAAAAATACAACAAGATCCTCCCCGCTAATGCGAAAGAACCAATTGTGGATATTAACGTTGCTTAGAAACGCAGAGGGTAGTAGCAAAAAATTACATACTGTAACTGATATAATATAGTACGATAATGCGATAAATACAACCAATTTTATAAATTCAATAAAAAAAATTTTATTGACCAAAAAAAACATGTACCAGGTACATGGTAACTGGAAAATACAAGTTTTAATATAGTCTCGATGCAAGCTTCATTTCATATACTTTTTTACTGTCGATTTCGAGCCGATTTCTAAATAATTTAAATTACAGACTTTATTGGCGATAATGAAGAACCGCAGATAATTTGATTAATTAAACTCGATACATTTCAGGTTTTAAATCGATGCGATACGCGCTCGAAAAGGTGCAGAAGAAGATGATCTACTCGTGTGAATGGCCGCTCTACCTCAAGCAGGCACCCGAAATGGTCGGTTCTCTAGTCGCAGGAAGGTTTTTGAAAAAAATGTGTTGCAAAAAAATTGGATATTCACGAGTCCCTGCAACCGAATTCCAGTCATTTTTCCTAAAAATCATTTTTCCTAAATTCATTTTTCCTAAATTCATTTTTCCTAAAAATCATTTTTCCTAAAAATCATTTTTCCTAAAAGTCATTTTTCCTAAAAATCATTTTTCCTAAAAGTCATTTTTCCTAAAAATCATTTTTCCTAAAGTTCATTTTTCCTAAAACCGGTTAAATACCGAAAAGGCCTAGTTCTTTAGCACTATGCATGAGAAAATAGAAAATTTTTAGAATAAGGTCAGATCTGCCTAGAGTGACCATAGGAAGTATTTTAGTTGCGCGTTTAGCCTAGATTTGGGTGATTGGAAGTGAAAAGGATCAATGATAATAAGAAAGATTTTCGATAAAAGCCTACTAATAACCAAACCAAACAAATACTGCTAAAAAATGATAGCATTTGGAATTTCTTGATATTTTTACGCATCCCTATTCAATGAAAAATTTTAGGAAAAATGAACTTTAGGAAAAATGATTTTTAGGAAAAATGACTTTTAGGAAAAATGATTTTTAGGAAAAATGACTTTTATGAAAAATGATTTTTAGGAAAAATGAATTTAGGAAAAATGAATTTAGGAAAAATGAATTTAGGAAAAATGATTTTTAGGAAAAATGAACATAACCCCCTGCAACCGGGTAATCGCTCCGATCTAGGCTGTTAATTGCTAAAAAAAATGCTTGTTTCCCCACATTAATATAATTAGCTTCGACATTGGCGCGGTTGCTTATTATCAGCATCTCGACCAGTAAGCATTTTCGCTGGCCCGTTACTTTAGGTAATTTATGTAACACTCAAATTATTTATCAAAAAACCTAAAAATCACATTAAAAAACCACCAGGACTGTACCGAAAGCCAAAATGACGGAAATCTAGAGCAGCGACACCCAAAAGAGTCGAAAAATCTCGACATGTTGAAATCCAAAATACCGATATCCGTAATAGCGAATAGATTGCACGATTTCGCTATATTGTACCTGCAGTGTTTTGGCTTTCGGCACGTTGGGTTTCGATATTTTCGTTCGGTATTTTGGCTTTCGGCATTTTCGATTTTGGTCCTTTGGCTTTTGGTATTTTTGATTTCGATATTTTGAATTTTGGTTGTTTTGGATTTTAGTATTTTCGCTTTCGGTATTTTCGTCTTCGATAATTTTGATTTCGATATTTCGGATTTTGATATTTTAGATTTCGACATTTTGGATTTCAGTGTTTTCGCTTTCGGTATTTTGGTTCATTTGTTATAGAATTCGAGCTTTTAACTGTCGATATTTTAGATTTCAGCATTTTGGATTTCAGGATTTCGCTTTAGATATTTTAGCTTTAAATATTTTGCTTTTCGTCGTTATCGATTTCGATATTTTGAATTTCGGCCGTTGCAATTTCGGTTTTTATATGTAACTTTTTAAAGATTCGGTCTTTCGGTATTCGTTGTCATGGAATTCGGTTTAATGGAAACAACCCGCCCGCATTGTCTAAGCGTTCCAAACCAATACCAAAAAATGTCATAATTTTGTTTTATGAGCAAATGTTTCATATAAGAAACGGGTAATTGCCGTGAACTTTAAAGCAATGGTTTCTCGTTGTTCCCTTTGAATTTGGTGAAATATCAGTGTTGTCTGAAACTCTAATATTGCAGATTCACTACGATGAGATCGCTGAGAACTGTAATTTGTGGCGGAATTTCGACGACGTCTATTCGAATTGGGGCTCAATTCTGTCGATCATCGATTTCCAGGCCGAAAATCAGGAGGGAAATTGCAAAGGTGCAAAAGCCGGGCGCGTGGAATGATCCGGATATGGTAAGCGGTACACTGAGAGAGCCTTTAAAGGGGCTCCGAACTGCCAAATCAAAGCCCTTTTGCGAGGCCTCCTTGATTTCTGGCGCGCTGCGGGACCAGAGCACTCACTCTTTCGCTTTTTGCGCGAAACTGTTTTTGCCCGGTTTCTTTGTGAAAACACTATAATTTGCGCATTCTGAGCTCATTTTTGAAATCCTCACTAAATTTTAAATAGCTTTGGTGTTTTAATCATCAAATTTGGCCCAGAAACAGCCGAGAACGTGATTTCGAGGTGACAACAGGCAATTTTAAATTTTGCGAGCTTTCCGGGCCCCGGGGTGTACAGAGGCCTCCGACGACCAGGCCTCCGATTTTCGGGCCGTCACTCAATTTTTGGCATTTCTGGGCCCCTTTAACCTTTCAATAGATCGGAATTTTCGCCATTTTTTCAAGTTCTCAAGAATTTCACTGACAGCTATAGGGACAATAAAAAAAAGTTATTGCAAAAACACGACGTTTTCGGCATTTTCGCTATTTGTCGGTATTCCTTCAAAACGTAGTTCGATAGAGCCTCCAAAATAGACTCGGTGCTTTCATTTCCGCTCAAAATAGTGTAAAATAAAATTGTTATGGCCAAAACAAGTCAGAATCGCAAAAAAGTGTTAAACAATAATTTAATTCTTTAATTTTTAATATACTTTGTTTGTAATTTCCGGCATTGGGTTGATAGCTGGGTCCTGTGGCTACCTAATGGTAATCGTAAATTTGAGACTCGTTTACTCGAGCGGGGGGAGGTGCGAACGCGCTGTGAATTAGAGTAGTTGGCTCTGGAATATCTGTTGTGCAAACTTGAAACATTATTTTGTGGCTGACGATAGGCATAAATCAGTCTGGAATCTGACAATGTAGCCAAATTAATTTTTCAGCTCGTGATCGGCAACGGCAATTTGACGGTGGAGCAATGTCGATCCCAGATGAGCATCTGGTGTATTTGGAGTGCCCCGTTAATTATGTGAGTTTTAAAATAGCTTGGAAAAGGTTGGTCTCGGTTTTTCATTAATATACCTGCATACAAACTGCAAAAATTTTTACTGATTACGTCCCTAATTTAGTTTCATTATTTTTTAATTTTCAGTTTAAATAAGGCCATGTTTAAATTATTTTTAAGTTTAAAAATTACGTGTAGAATTAGATAGTTTTATTAGCGCTAAGTTATAAGTAACGGTAATTTTCAGGTCGACAGATCTACGAATCCTGAAACCGGAATACCGCGAAATACTTTTGAATAAGAAGGCGATCGCCGTCGATCAGGATCCGATGGGAAAATTCGGAAAGAGGGTCTATAAGGTGGGGGTCATATTTATTATTATTTCTAAAATACATATTTTTGCTAAAAAAATACAGTCTTCAAGCAAGCGAAAAATTAAGGAAAAGCCAGGCCCTGAAATAACGCAAAAATTTACAATTTAGTCAGCTACATCGAAGGGACTATTATTCTTGATTTTTTTCCCTAGCAACAGCTAATTATACAAAACATTTTTTTACAAAAAGGTTGAGATTTAATAATTTATACGTTATAATATTTGAATTATATATCTTTATAAATTATAAATTGCTAAGTTAATTTAAGAATTTACGAAAAAATTCAAAATCTGACGCTATTTCTGGCTTTCTTAGGCGATTTTAAACATTTCCCGTTTTCAATTTTCAAAATTGGCGCAGGATTCAACAAAATCGAGCATCCATAATTGAGCGCCTTACAGAGTATTACGACATGTAATTCACCCGACTCAAAAAAATTAGATTTTCCCAAAAACATTTCGTTTTCTCACAAAGATTTTGAGCTTTTTGAGCTTTTTTACGCACTGCTTTTTGGAAGAAGATGATCTTACGGAAACCAACAATTCCCAAATTAGCTACCCATCTATTAGCAAAAATTGGCAAAACACATTTTTTGGAACAAATATTTGTAATCAATTAAGAATTTCCTGATCTTTCTTTGTTACTTTTTGGGACAAACATATATTTTCTACGCGGGTAAAATTAGGTATGAATATATCAGATAAATAAATCGTAGTTAAATGCAAATTTTGAGAACGCAATTGATTAAAATCGATTAAATCGATGAAAATCCTACTATATATAAAAAAGTAGTGTCTGTGTGTGTGTGTGCCACTTTGCATGCAACTTCCGTCACCATGTCCGGGGAATATCTCGGTAGGGGAAGGCTTTTAAGGTATGTACCAGGGTTGAAAAGCCGCTTCGCGACTTTTCAACCCTGGCCCCGTCTTAGACCGCATGCTGTTCTACGCTTTGCATAATTGCGCTGAATTCAGATGACCAAAAAAATGAAAATGATTCGCTTGTGACCCTTTATATAGGCGACTTCCTACTTCCGGCCAATGCTAATTTTTCCTAGCGAAGAGGGTTTTACAAAACATAAATTTAATATCAAAAATAGCTGATTTTTATAAATCTGATATGTGGGCAGTCATCCCTAGACCATTACGCAGATAATGACGTATCGTACCCACGCCTAGCTTCTTACCCTATAGAGATACGCCTGGAACAACGATACGGAAGTGGATGCAAAGTGGCACACACACACAGACACTATTTTTTTATATATAGTAGGATGATACGTCATTAGGTGCGTAATGGCGCTGAGATGACTGCACGCTTATTCGATTTTACAATATTAATTGTTTTCAACATAAAAATTCAGATTTTGTAAAAATTTCGGGCCGCTTCTTTGTTAGGAAACAATTAGCATGACCCGGAAGTGGCGGTAGCCTATATAATAAGGTAGAGTGTGTCATTTTTCATTTTTTTTTATCGGGATGTTAGAGACGTATGCAGAGTGAAGAATGTTGTTGTGTTAGACGGGGCCAGGGTTGAAAAGTCGCGAAGCGGCTTTTCAACCCTGGTTCTGGTTTAATTTTGACTGCTATAAGCATTTCGCCTAAGTATTAATAAGTACTTGGTTTAATTTAGCTATTGATCAGTATTTCAGGAAGGCGATTTGAACATCTTCTCGAAACCCATCCAGCCGATTGAGGGCGAGAAGACATCATTGGCACTCGCGTTACTAAATCGGAATCCCGATTCCCCGATTGTATGTTTCAATTTCTAGTTTGGGGTAAATTCCAAAAACCACCTTAATTCGTGGTTGGTAGGTGTCACCTTAAATTCAGAAGTCCGGTACTGGAGTGTTAGCGGGGGAGCGGGATTTTAGCGGGGGACTAATTTTTCGCGGGTTCCTTACAAAATGTCGAGAATCATAAGGTCGAAATTTTGTAAAGCCAAAATTCAGAACGTCGAAATTTACATAAGCTAGTTTCCTCGGAAAACCCCAAATCCTATGCAAAAAAATTTCGACATTACGCATTTCGACATTATGTTTTTCGACACAACCCCCAAAAAAATGTAAAAAGTTTCGAAAATTCTTAAATTTTGGTCAAAATGGTTAAAAAATGCCCACGCAAGGCCAATTTTTCAATTTTTTTAAACATTTTCAAATATTTTTATACATTTCTAGCAATCTAACACTACAAAAAAGGCTCTAAAAACATTGTTAAAACTGTTAAAATCAAGCATAGGCAAGAAAATGAAAATTAGCCCCTTCCCCGCTAACAGCACAGTAACAAGTCACCAAAAGCCCTTCAAGGACCACACGTTCACTCTATCTTCATTGGGCCTGCACGAGCCGGTGAAGCTCTATCGAAATTCTTGGAGCAACACCGAGTTCGGCAAGGTCAACCCGGACGCGTCGATTAAGGTAAGCAATCCACAACGGAGTATAGTACCATTAAAATAAGTAATTCTCGCAATTAGATTCGTACTTTGGTGAAACATTTTTTGGTTGTTCTCTTGAACGGACAAAAAGTTAATTCATTAAATAATTTTTTAAGCCTGTATCCTGCCTGTTAATATGATTAAATAAGGTATTATTATAGTGAGACCGAGAAATAGGAAACCGCCCCCCGCCCCCGATATTGCCAAAGCACCGCGCAACACCTTCCCCGCAGTGATTTAATCAAATATTGGAATTATTTGCATCAAATTTTACGGAGTAAATAAGCGGAAAATTATCGACATGCCACGACATCAATTACATGCTGTTTTCCGGCCCTGACACACAAGAATTCTGAAACATTTTTTCGATCATCTACTCGTCTCGATTAAAATATAATAAAAACGTTGTATTGGGCACTAAAATAATACATAGTGCAATATCAAAAATAATCTTTAGAAAATCAAATAAATAAAAAACTTATAAACTACCTCTTAAAAAACACAGCAAAGATGTTATCTGTTTTTCAGGTTTATTTTTTTATTGGAATCCTAGAGGCAGGAAATGATTGTTAATGTAACAAGTCAATGGGCAAGACTTTTTGCTAAAACATTGAAATTCAAACTGAAGCAAAAATAAACAACAAAACAACAAAGAAAATAATAAAATCGTTCAAAGTAAATAAATTAATTTCAGGTGACAATCCACCCGGGCGACACCCTCTTCTTCACTGCAAAATTACTATCGGGTCAATGAAAAATTCTTTTTATGTGATTTTCTAATTTTTCTTGGTTAAAAATTAATAAAGGTAAAAACGCCATTTTTGAGGCGGCATCCTTAATCGAGGTTACTAAGAAAAATGGTATGTTTCAGGTTTAAGCCAAATCAGCAATTGTTGAAATGAACCAATAGAGGGTTCGTAACTTGAGGATGCATTGTATATTTCAGAAAAATTAAGTTCTTTCGCATTATCAGAGGGACCAACTTTTTCCTAGGATCCGATTTTTCATAGATAAATAGCGGAAGTTTTTATATCCTCTTTCTACGATTCATAAAAGCAAAAAAGCACAGTTTTAATCCAACCAAAAACATTGATTTTTCGACCAAAACCAATTATACCAAAGAATCCCCGATAATGCGCAAGAACCAAAAATTAACAAAGATTGCGATATGCTAATTGACCGCGGTCGAAGCTTCAAAAATGGGCATCCAGGGAATAGTCCAGTCCAAATAGCGATCAATCCAAAAAGCGCTTTTGCAATCAGCATTCGGCGACAAATTTTTGGTAATCTTATAGAAATGAACCACATTTTTTCAAGACCTTGATTTTTTTAGCTTCGAAAAAGGTTTTAATAATAATAGCAATCAATAATCATAAGATTCAAGCAAAATAGTAGTGATAGTATACAAAAACCTGTTTATGAAAAAATTTTACTTACCATTCCTAAAAGATCACTGCTAGGTTGAGGTCCGGCGAGCGAAACAAAAGTGTAGTTCACATTTTGTTCCCGAAGCACTGTCTCAAAACGGTCTGTCTGTCTCTCTCTCTCTCTCTCTCACTCTCTCTCTCTCGCTCTCTCGCTCGCCGCGTTCCAAATAAGATGATATCCCCCGGACCAGGAAAACAGCCTCCTCATTTGCCCGTCCCAAATTGATTGTTTTTTCCCAATTGCTACTTCCCTTTTTTACTACAGCTCATATCTCTATTCTATTTCTATTATGCAAAACGGATACCAACTCCCGAAATCCAAGCAAAAAACGAGCAATAACGGATCGACAACGGCCGGCCATGAATTATCTGATGAAGAGCTGAAACGGCATCTAGAGGAGAACAGGTACACCACTATATGCGACTGAATATTACTTCGCTTCACCATACCCTATTTTTTAAAATAGATGAAACATAAATTTTTGGATAACGGTCTTCCAGGTTATCGGGGGGTGGTCGCAAGCTTTTTTCTATAACATCGTGCTGGCCGACTAATTGAAAGCTGGCCGTTTTTATAGACTTGTGGGTAAAGGTTGCTTAACGGGGGGGGGGAACAAATAACGGGGGCGGAAGCCATTTTCTCAATTTCAGCCTAAAACAATGTAATTTAAATTAGTTATTAAAAACAAAACCTTCGGCTGGGCATGAGCGGCGTTTTGAGCTTTTTCGCCGGGATTTCATGAGTGCCATCGGATAGAGCGTCAAAAATTACACTAAGAGTTCTAATTTCAGCCCGAAATACCACAATTTAAAATTAGTACTTTATTAAGCTAAAAAGTTTGATTAATTAAAAATCGTTAAAAATGGGTTTTTTGGACTGAAACTAAATCCCTTAGTATAATTTTCGACGCTCTATCCGATGGCCTTTTCAAATCGCAGGATATTCTTTATAAATACAAACATTGTTTCCACCCCCGTTATTTGTCCCCCTCCCCGTTAAGCAACCTTTACCGACTTGTGCGCCATTTGAAGTGAAGCTGGGCTGTTAGCGGGGGGAGGAGAAACTAAGAAAAACGGCATAAAGCATGTTGAAAATTTGTGCTTTCTTGTAAAAACGAAAATGGTGAAAAACGCGCTATAACCTCCAAGATTTCGTGGCTGTAGGATAAATGTTGTTATAATTTTTGATTTTCGGAAACTACTAAAAACATTATTAAAATAAACTACAATTTATCACTGGATAGCTTTTTTTCCTTAGGATCCATCTTTGAAACATAAATAATGGAAGTGTTTCTATAATGTTTTTACTAATCTTCAACCTATAAAACCTTAAATAGCTGTATTAAAAATACGAAAAAGATCGTTTTTGGCCCAATACTAGCCGTTTTTTACCAAAAATTCAAGTTTTATATATGGTTTTTAGTTTTTGTTTCTTTTTGCTTTAAAATGTAATCCTAGTCCAATAAAATACACTATTGATAAATACTACTAGGTTAATAGACATTTCTAAAATTCTACATAAATTTTCGCCCCCCCCCCGATAATGCGAAAGAACCTAATATATTGATCCTGATGGAAATGGGAGGCAACACATTGGCTGGAACAAATTTATTTTTGATTTTTTCGAAACTTGAAACTCACATTTTATCGAGCAAAATGCGCGCATTTTTAGACGAATGGCATCCGCTTATTAGATGGCTATCTATTCATTGCTTTCATTAGAATTAATTTTATAGAGGGGTTTAATTTGTTTAATTTTCGGCAATTTAATTTTTTGGGGAAAATGGACAGTTATTTTTTAAAATTACAGTATTTTATTTTCCTATTTTTATTCATTTTTGTTAATTTAAAATTATGTCGTAAATTAAAATAATTTAAGGTACAGTTTTGACAATGAATAAAAAAACAACGCATAAATAATAAATAAAAAATGAAGGCGAAATTGGCAGTTGGGATATCGAAAACGCACGAAAGAGATATTACTAAGCGCTTAAACATCTTGCTGTTGCCAGAAGTTGAAACTCCATATTTTCGTGGGGGAAAATGGAATTGGAATTTAGATTTTAGAATTGGGGGAATTTTGCAAATTGGTGACAAAATTTTAGAAAAATGTGTTTCAAAGAAATCAGAAGAAGAAAAGTTGTGGTGGTGTTTCAAAGAAAATTTTTTTATGGGATTGATAGGTAGCCCCTTGATGCGGTTAGTTTGCTTTTAAAAACGTAAAACTCCGCCTTAAAGCTTCCCTTTTCAGGATCAGCGCCGAGAAAGCGCAGCAAGCAGCAAAGATACGGAAGTTGTTTATTTTGCTGTTGGTCTTTGTCGCGTATTCTACCGGTGCCACTGGATATATCATTTTTATGTTTACGCAGTGTAAATGAAATAATAGATTTATTGAAATGTTTAAATGCTCGACAAGTACAGAGACAAGAGAGAAAGTGAGCGGGAGTGAGTGGGAGAGGAAGAGAGCGAGAGAGAGGAGGAGAGGAGAGGGAGAGAAGAGAGAGAGGGAGAGAGAGAGAGAGAGTAGAAAGAGAGAGGGAAAGAGGAGAGAGATAGTGAGAGAGAGAGAGACAGACAGAGAGGACAGAGAGAGAGAGAGAGAGAGAGAGAGAGAGAGAGAGAGAGAGAGAGAGAGAGAGAGAGGAGAGAGAGAGAAGATTGGAAGAGACTGAGAAGGAGAGAATTCAACGAAAATTGATAGGGACCAATTATCCGACGCGCATCAATATTAACGGAATTCGACGAAACATAAATGTTTGTACCAAAATGGACGTTTCAACGCATTAAATCGTGTAACCTTTTAACGGCTGAAATAGCTAGAATGAGTAAAATTACGCAAGGATTCTGGGAATGGCGCCATAATGCAAAATTTACGCACTTTCACGCACAAAAGGAGTCAGGAGGACCGGCGGCGCGGTCGCGTTACGGCAGCTTCTGGTTATGCCGAAAATCAAGGATAAGGGCGTGAAGCAGGCTTTTTGGCGCTTTTAATTACTTTTGAAATTGAAAAAGTACGATTTAGGAATCGATCGAAAGCTCCCGCCGTCAAGCGAGAAAACAGGAAGCGTTAACTTTCTTTATTATGTATATTTATTCGCGAATTTTACATCCCAAAAAGGATGAACGCGGCTGATTTCTGTAAGATCTGCATTCTAATTGCAAAAATCTCATGGAAAAATTAACTGTTTCTGCTGAAAAATGCTGAAATCGATGGAATGAAATTAAATCTTAGAAAATGTTTAGACTTGTTTTCTACGCCTGGTTTTTCGCCTTTTCGAGGGCCTTCGAATGGTGTAAAAATCATCCTGATCTGAGCTTCGGGTCGTTGGGGCGCTAAATTACGGGCGGGGGCGCGGACGCGGCGCCCGGACGCGGGGGCGGCAAAAAACGGAAAGGGGGGTGGGGGGTGGAGATTTGCCTTGCCTCAGAAAAAAATACCCGTCGGAAAGGCCATTGAGCAAGAAGTGTAATGTTCATTTTTTGAGGTTTAGTACTAGTTTTTCTTTTGTGTGACATTTGGACAACGGAATTATTTTTGATCCAACACGATAATAATGGGCCCCCTAGCAGTCTATTAAATTAACATGGTGATCTGCAATTTGCATCGCGGGCCCGGGCGGGGGGCGCCCGCGGTCCGCGCGCCCCGCTCCGACGCGTCCGGCCCGCCGGCCGGGCGCGCCACCCCTCCGGACCGCTAGAGGAGGGTAGTTTTTTGGGAAAACTAGCGGATTTGATGTGATTGCCTTAACTCCATTTGTACTGGTGCATCCAAATTTGTAAAACATTTTTTTTATCCACGAGAACCGACCCTGGTATAGTTTTTGCGTTCATTAATTAATAGTTAATAGGTCGTTTAATTGTCGTGATTTATTCCGTCACCCGGTCTAGTGTGGTTTAGCACTTCATTCAACACTGAAAAAGCAGGAGACAGGAATTCGCGATAAGTGATGATAAAGGGCCGCAAGCATCGGCACCCCGGCCACCTCTCTCTCTCTCTCTCACTCTCTCTCTCTCTCTCTCTCTCTCTCTCTTTCTCACTCGCGCTCTATCTGCATGTACTTCGCATCTGCCACCAATCGATTTTGAGGGTGATTTTTAATTTATGTTTATGCGACTTGCAACCGATTTATAACTAGAAACACTAAAAACCCACTAAATTTAGCAAACCCTGAAACACTTAAATTAAACTAGCAACATGGCCACTTTTAACAATTTTAATTTGTTTTTTAACCTTTTACACTTTAAACAATCTTTTTATTTTCAAGTACTAAAAATCGAAACTATCTTGACGCATGGCCCATTGATGTTATCCCGTTCTCGTGAT